ACAAGCAGTTCTGAAGGTATTAAGAGGTGCCAAATGAGCGGTAACACCCTTTCTGTACATGCTCCAAATAATAAAGACAGCAAGACATTAATCAGTCAGGATTCCTGTGCATAAATGATTGCACAGTCGTCCCAGGTGATGCGTATATTCAGCATTTATTTACCAGTTGACAACAAAAAATGTCCACAATATGCCATTAATGGTTCCCATGAACTTGGTTTGGTAAAGAATTGTACTTGTTTTGGTGAGTGGTGCGATCTTTAGAGCAGCAATGCCCATCGCACAGGGGGCCCAGAGACAGGCATTATTGCATGGTATCGAAGGAAAAGGTAAACGAACGCATATCCATCAAGAACTTGAGCTAGCTTTACAACCATGGAAATGCTCTTAACGTAGTCTATGGAGACAAAACAAAATGGTGTTCTCACCTTTTCTAAACGTTGCATACGGATTTGCAATACCTGTTGATCAATCAAGTCGGCATCGTTAGTGCAAATTTGATGTCTTTATCTGCTAAGGTCAGTAACCAATGTCAGGCCAATGAAGTCAACCCGTGACAATATTTGACTACACATATTTTTTTGTTGGTCATTTACCATATTTCAAACTCGTTTTAGTGATAGAAAATGACAGTTCCTAAAGTTTGTACATTTTGGATTTCTTAAAACAGGCGGGATCAGTGGCTTGAAGTCATATAAATTTTCGCTATTTCTCGTAAATAATGCAAATATGTACTGCTTTTGTGTAGTTTCGGTATTTTATGTCAGGAAAAGAGTATTAACTCACATGCGCAACCATCATATGACCACAGAGCACATGACCTTGGCACAGGCTGTGACCTAGATGTATGGGTGTCTTCTGCAAAACGCATGATGAACTGAAATTAGGCAGTTTATTACACATTTTTGCTCACAGAATTCAAACACACTAATGAAAACATGTTGTGGTAGCATTCTAATGTATAATGAGTTCACCGTAAATCACATGAGGACATGTGAAGTCATATCAGGCCACCCAAGGCGAATCACCTGTGCTGTCAATAGCGGAAAGACTAGATGAATGAATGCGACGTATGTTGCCACCTCCCTATGGTTTCAGTGAAGCTGATGAGGTAGAATTTCATATACCAACGTGCCTATTGCCAGTTTATTACAAATACATTGCCAAAGATCAAAGGGACTGTGTAAAATGTAGCCAACAGCTGTGCGATCTTGAGTATCTGTGGATGTACAGCACACTATTTTTGACCACAGAAAAACATTATGTTGGTCACGCAGACCTGGTTAGCACTTCAATTTTTTAGTTGGATGTTTTATATCATTGACCTATACTGACCTTTGATGATCTCTAGGTCAGACAACAATGATATTCCCCTGTCCGAAATACCTTTGTCCCAGAGCTACACACTAAACTCAGTTTTAGTCAGAAGGCTCAGTAAATCCAGACAGACTCGTAAGACTCAGAATCATCTTGTAAAAAAGTATCTTTTTGTAGGTTACTGGTAGACCATTTTTAAACATTTTCCTTTGACCTGGCCCTTATGGGGGAAGAGCAATGGTCGGAATTTTCCCCACAATCTTCACGCTGATTTCCGTGACCTCAATATTCATCTTGATGCGTTAACATAAGTATTAACTGCATCTGTCAGAACGACCTTTTTGAGCTTTCCTCACGTTTGGTGCCCTCTTATTTGATTTAGGGTCATAAGTTAAGTGCGCATTCTTCATGGTTCGACAAGACCTTCACAACGGTATCTTTCTTTTCTTGCACAGCGTTTAGGAGTTGGAGATCCCAGGAAGTCAACTTCCTCGCGGCCATGCGCGGTTATCTCAGATCCCGGCCAGGCGCGGCGGTCTCAGAGCCCCGACCGGCCTCAGTTGTCTCAGATCGCGGCCAGGCGCGGCGGTCTCAGACCCCCGACCGGCCTCAGTTGTCTCAGATCCCGGCCAGGCGCGGCGGTCTCAGACCCCCGACCGGCCTCAGTTGTCTCAGAGTCCAGCCAGGCGCGGCGGTCTCAGACCCCCGACCGGGCACAGTTGTCTCAGATCCCGGCCAGGCGCGGCGGTCTCAGACCCCCGACCGGGCACAGTTGTCTCAGGTCCCGGCCATGCGCAGTTGTCTCGGATCCCCGGCCATGCGCAGTTGTCTCGGATCCCCGGCCGGGCGCAGCTGTCTCAGATCCCGGCCATGCGCAGTTGTCTCGGATCCCGGCCATGCGCAGTTGTCTCAGATCCCGGCCATGCGCAGTTGTCTCGGATCCCCGGCCATGCGCAGTTGTCTCGGATCCCCGGCCATGCGCAGTTGTCTCGGATCCCCGGCCTGGCGCAGGTTAAGACTGATGGTGTGAAGCAGACAAATGGAGCTTCTGACACCAATCTGCAGCTTGATCTTGTTTGAACTTATATGACTCGAAGGTCACGACCTAGGGACCTCAAAATTTGACACAGATGCGTTCACGTGGAGCTCTATCTACGCTATGGGGTTAGAGTTTTATCTCTCTTAGTTTTTGAGACCTCACGCAGTCAAGTTATTTCCCGTCTCACGCACACACCCGAGTGCGTCGCATTAAACCAGCCACCTGGGCGCGTAAAGAATGTGACGATACGCCCATGAATTGCAATGTCTGCCCACACCGTTGCCGACAGCTTGCCCGCACCGTTTCCAGATGTTTTTGATTAGCAAACCTTCCCGAGAATAGTCACGTACACCTCCGACACTCATAATAGGATGAACGCAACGCAGCCGCACAGGCGTTCCCCCGCCCCACACGAGATCAGCCAGGTTCAATGTCTGACAGTCCTGCCTCTGCGCGAACCCAACAACTCCGAATGCAAGCAATCTGCGTTAAGGTTACAGCAACACTGCATCTGGCAAATAATTAGCGCCTAGTTCGATATATCGAGGTTTGAGAAGCCTTCAAGATCATGATGCCGGCACCGTCTGGATTGTAGTCGTCCGGCTTCTAATCATGCATTTTCGGAAGGGGGTACCGAACACAAGTGATTATCATTAACACCATAACACCAGGCCGGCCGGAAATGCGTTGATACCGACCGCTTTCATATAAGCACATACGGCAGACCAAAGACGCTTCGCCACACTTGATACGTGTTCGATGCATGCTTAAAAATTTTGATAACAACATGTTACCAGGTCTGTATGGCCGCATTGTTCGGATATTGCAACTCGCACACCGCGCGTTCCAAGTTATTCTACGGGCGTGTCAATCGTCACTGCTCTGACGGTGTCGTTAGTGTCACTCGTACTAGATACGAATGCCACGGATGAAAAAGTGCATTTTCTCGCCGACGAAATTTGGAGCCGGCTAGATTATCAACTCCAGCCAAATTAATCAGAAACTGTTAGAATATATTTATAAAAGGAATTAACAATAAAAATAAGGTCAGATGAAATGTAATGCGGGGTAACCATCAAACATTTTTGTGGCGGGAGTTCATTTGCACCAAGGTATCATTTGCTGGTTATCAAAAACTGAATGGTTGTTGTGATTAAACTAGCATAATTATTACATAAGGGCATACTTATTAACACAACCGGCCTATAGGCGTGCAGTTTCCTATTCAGCGGGGGGAGGGGGGGGGGGTTGACTATGCCTCCTAATCGTGGATGCATTTTCGCATTTTTAGTTATATCTGTTCTTCACCCTCTTTCATTAATCATCATCTTTAGGGTTCAGCCCCACAAACCTTACTCTGAGAAACTACGCCCCTGCTTCCAACTCGGAAGAGAAGGTTCGTCAAATCTGGGGAGGATACTATTTTAAGTGTTTTTCGAAGGCAGGCTCAGCCATTTTGTTCTGTGCCTCACCCCTCGCCCCTGCGTATTTTGCAAAGCCGCATCCCTGTAGCCCTGCATTTACCGATGGCATGGTTCTGCAAGCACCCGAAAACAATATCACGTTTGGTTTTGCGATGTCATTGTACAATCAGCTGGAAGCTTTGGGTATCTTCACGATCCTCGCGTAATCACTGGTATTACCGGTGCAGGGCTCGCACTTCTGAACATGATTCCAATTAGTCCTCTGTTAACCTCTGAAGCTACAGTTCGGGTATCCACCAACAAGCCTCCTAGATCGGCATGACTTTTAAACGCTTTTAATGGGAACACTCTCTATGGTAAATTCTTAGAAAAGCCGCGCAGCACCTTAAAAAACCGACAATGGACTATGTTCTTCTAGCCAATCACCTTCTTTCCATATGAAAAGAACCAACAGCACCACGCAGTCTTGCACTGAAAGCAGTTCATTACCGAGTGGCAAGCATTCGAGACCATCTGTCTCAAAACCCACGCACTTTAAAACGCGGCGTAGCATACTGATTACGTCTGTCGCAAGATGCGGTGGCCAGCCGCGATTCTTGCAGCTTGTTATAAGCCCACTTATTTGGTATTTTGTACTGTTTGGTGTTTAACGTGAACCTTGGCTAACAATTCAGTGGAAAGCACTGACCTGAGGGGCATTGGAAAAGCACTGTGTCACCACCGATCTGTGACGCCAGCACCGATTAAGTGTAACTTGTAGTATGTTTCTATCATCTGCTAAAACTATCCTTATTAAAGCTACCACGTTTGGCAATAGCTTACACCTCAACTGGCTCACACAACGGAACGTCAACGTTTCTACATGCGCTCTGCACAAGCTTACGCTGCAAAAGTCATCGAGTGCAGACCAACACAAAGCTTTCAGTTTCGTCTAACTGGGGTGATCTGTTGTTCTATGGACTGGTCCGGTGTAAGTAGTTTCCATTTTCGCAATTTTTTCTCCAACTGTCTCGCAAAAGTGTCCGTTTCTGTCATTGGTCATATCCGGGAATCAAGTTTTTCACCTGTGACCATTGCCACGGTCATCACCGTGTTGTCGGTGTCATTTCGTACCGTTGTCACGGTATTGCCTAGCATATGCCAGTGTCACTTTTACTGGCGTGTCATTTGTCACTGTTGTATCAATGTCGCCATTGTCATTTGTTTGAACTCTGTTGCAGGATCGAGATGTCCGAATCATCATCGGGAGTTTTGCTCCGTCAATAGCGCGCAGGATCTTTTGTGAGGTATGTTTGCAATACAAATTACAGCATAGCATTGCCTTGACCTTTGGCAATATATAACTAAGCCTTATGCTCAGCCTCAGCGACGTGTGTCAAACGACGAGGATTCGTGAAGCCGGTCTGCTTTTAGATGTATCCAGCTGTGCGGTCCTTGAATGGCTCGCGTTTCCGTTCCCTACCCAGTCTGTCACTCAGCGTGCTATTTCTCGTGATGCATATGGATCGTTTTGGTGCTTTCCCAGTTATGGCGTCTTCGGCAATTTGGTCACGTGGCGTGATCTGAACTGCGGCTTCCACCAATCATCGGTGTGCAGCCGCGGGAAAAAAGCGCCGGCGGCAGAAAAGTGGCGGCTGTTAGCTGGCTAACAAGACGCGCTCACGTGTTTCCGATTTCACGGGTTTGGATACGGCCGCTGGAGGCAGCGGTCGATCAAATTGCCCCCAGCAAGAGAGGAACCACCCAAACAACGGCGGTAGTTGCTTCAAACAAAGTCAAATCACATGGCTGATGGAGGGCGTTGAGCTCACGTGAACGGCTGTCTGCCAAAGTTATGCTGCCAGTGTCGCTACAGGCCGACTTGGGCTTACTGCCCATATACAATGCAGATTGGTACAGACAAAAGGGCATGCAGGTGGTGAGGCACATTAAGTCACTGCTTTGCCCATTTATAAGGAATGCACGACATCTTTCCATTATCGTAGAGGTTTCCTGGGCCGCAACCGAGATTCGCACGCGGGCCAACAAAAAGGATCAGAATATGTTAATCACTCGGCTGTTACGTCCATGAACACTTCCTTCCGCTTGCTTTTTGGGACGTTTCTTGATGCATGCTTGTTGACACAACCACGATAGATGACTACCAGACGAGATAGTGGTCATGATGCCAGCGTGCAGCAAACACGAGCATAGTTATATACTCAGATGTAAAATGTGGTCACTGACAATTTGGGCAGCTGGAAAATGCTATGGGCAAGTCTGCAATCCTCCATCCCTAGAATCCACACGTTTTTGATCACCCTCCGACTTCCAACATTTAAAGCTGTCTGGGGCGCGGCAAGGCCCGAGCCGACCAATCGGTATGCTGAGGAATGCGTATGACGTCATTTACAGGACTCGTGGGCCGTCACAAACGTTAGCCAATTTCCGTTCCTGCCAGGCTCCCGAGAACACATATTACGTATGCCTTAGATGACAACGCAGATCGTGCCGGGCATAGAGTCGGCCAAGTCATGGACTTCTGCTGGGGCATCGCGTAACGCCTGTCGCGTCTTTGTTGCGTGTGGGGTATGGTTGTGTGTGACAAAGCCTTTTGCTTAAGCGCGCGTTGCTAACGTATGTCCAATGTAAGGTGTGCAAAGTTGAACAAGTCCGAACACAGCCATCGAATCTCGAAAAAAACATTGGTCCGGGTATAGAGGTGACTGCGTACTTGTCACCAAACTTAATTTCATTTCGTTTCCTGATGCATATCGACAAATACTGCAAAGGCACTGCTCGAAAATGCTCCAAAGAGCTTAGAATATCGCATCTACTATTTATCTTGCGGATTAGCAGCGTGGTAGGGACAGTTGAATAATTTTGTGGGCACCAATTTCCCTTGCGGTCTCTGCAATATTCAACTGTAATATTCTTTAACCTCTTCGCATAATATGTTATGGAACATCTAACTCGAAAAATGTAGCCAACAGACCAGCTCATAAATCTATTTGTAATGCGGCACCGGCCAAGCACCAAGTGAGAAAACCGCTGGGTGGCTGGTATTTATATATATGTAGATTCATTTTATAGTTCACGGACCATCCGAGTGAGGGGGCATTGGCTTCACGACCTAAGTTGACCAGGCGGGTAACCGTCCAGAATACCTCCTCAGAGGCCAGCCGAGTGCTAATGTATTTGGTCCTGTTATCCTACAGAAGCGACATCTGGCTGGGTCGCTTGACGGGTGCCAAGGGAGGATCTAGCGCCCGAAGCAGCGTGCCTTTAAAGGGAGTGTCCCACTTTGGGGCATATTTTAAAAATACGCTGTGAAACTTTACGACCATTTACGTCTAATACACACATGGGGTAGTGCCACTGCTGCAGCACCAAAATATGATGGATGTTAATGTGAATCATCTTCGAGTCGAAAGTGCGCTGTCAAGGTTTTTTCACAGCACTGCACCTATTGCATTATTGGTAGCCCCATAGCATAGCCCGAGTAAACGTTAATTGCAGTTATCGTCATGACGACAGTCGTCATGACAACGGCAAAATCTACTAAGGGCCGTTGTAAGCTGTTACGGACTAGATGTACTACTTTTGAGCTGTTCTAACCCGCACTTTACGGACATGCCAGCTTAAAAGTGGCATCCCTGTTGGTATGAATAACTTAAATAGAAATGGAGTGTGCTAGAAACAAGTGCGTTTCGAAAAGGGCCACTGCGCCAAACGCCGTGGGGAAAAATCAAAGCCAAAATTTGCGCGATAATGTCGTCATGTTTAAATGTTGTTATCTAACTAGCGTGTTTTAAGGTTTCGCAGCCTTTATTACACAAATATTTTGACAACTAAGTGCATTGCAGGCATTAACACGCGCTCGTGTGGGGTCCAATCGATCCCCCGAAGATTTTTCCGGACTGGTTTCCGAAAGGCGCGGTGTAGCTGCGCCACATTGTGCATAGCTGTTCACAATTGAATCGCGGATCGTTTGATGTAAGCAATTTAGATGTACCTGATAAGGTCACTGACCTATGGCAGGTCAAAGTCAGGCCATGGTTTCAGCAAGGTCAATTTCTAGGTAATTGTTCAATCTGATACAATAACGGAGTGTTTGACGAAGCCGTACAATCTTTGAGATGCTTTATTAGGCAACGCAAGCATTGAATGAACAAATTAAGTTGACGTAAGGTCAGGTGTAAAGATCAGACCAAGGTCAAAACCAACCTGTTTTATTGCTCTAGGGCTTGCTGTATGGGGTATTTTCCGGTGCTCATTTTGAATTCATTGATAGCAGGAACCGCATCATACATCTTCAGTTGATTTCTTAGAGATCATAATAGGTCATTGACCTAAGTGGAACCAGATCGATTTTTTTTTAAAGAACATTCTGCCAAGCGTAATCTTTGTCCCTTATTCAAATGCAAAACTCAGGGCAGTCTTGTATGATTTTAGTCACCATGGCCTTAAAAAGTTCAAGCAAGGTCACTTACCTTAAATGAGGTTATGACATTTTGATTAGAAACAGTTATCCAGGTTCTGGGGGCTCTTTGGAGACCAACCTGAAATTTGACCTTGTTTGACCATGTTTGACGTTATTTGACCCGAAAGTCAAAATCTAGTGACCTCAAACTTTGACCTAGGTGAGTTTACGTACAGGTCAACACACCCTGAAAATTTGGTGTCTCCAGCCTTCTTAGTTCCCGAGATCTTAGGGGGTCATATTGACCCCCCATCCGAGCGAAAGGCATCTAGCCGGCCTCCCGGGCGCGTGTTTAAGTATGCATACGCTGGAAATAGCAAGGCAATGAGATGCATTAATTTTATGGTGGTGAGGAGGAAATCCAATGGGATTTCTCCGCAGGAGCGGTTACTTCAAATACAAATGACGATATATTCAGAAGGGTTTCGAGAAAACTGGTAGTGCTAATCGAATCAGACACGTCTCATCTAGCAGTAGGTTAAACGTGCAAACAAGGTGGCTGTATAAATGACGTGCAAATGAGCATGTACCAGACATGTTGCAATGACGACGTGATCCGAACAATTTTGTTGAGTTATGTCATGTAATATGTTGATTGGTCAGGACGAGGAGGAATGAACACAAAACATTCGGGGATTGGTGACGGGCAGGGCGACGTCCCAGCTCAGCAAGGAGAAATTGTTCGGGGTTTAGTCGGTGGGGTGGTTTAGGTCTGGCGTGGAGGAGGCATTTATTATTTTATGTTGATTTGCATGAGAGATTCGTTCTGCCTATTGAGATTGATAATTCACAGCAAGCTATTTCGACTTTTACAATGGCATGAGAAGCGGTGACGTGGAAGCTGCAGGTGGTGTTATGGGTTTGTGCCTACTGCAGTGTAGGAGTTTGATGGAGCTCCACAGGGCGTCGGCGATTGGATAGACAAGTTGGGGCCTGTTGTCGTATAAAAGGAGTTGAGAGCCAGTAATGCGTAATTACCTTGTGACTGACGGGAGGTGCTTTCGGCGTGTATCAGCAGCTGGATTAAGACTACAAGAAGAATAAGAAGAAAATAAAAATAACGTTGATAACGGCGTTTGCAGCAGATGTTTTGACGGCGTGCGAGCAGCTGGTAGCTCGCAGACTCAGGCCAAATAAGTCAGTGGATGTGTTTTGGGGCCATCTGTGTCGCCTGTCACGGCTGGACAAACACATTGAATAGATCATTTCTCGAATGTGCCCTTGAAGTGGGTTTGCCTGAGGAGATGTGGCACACGCTGAGGTTGGATTCCCCAGTGGAGTCACTGGAGCTATCACAGATTCCAGCACAAGCCATCGCCCTGGCGGCGGACGGTTCGGCGGTGGCTGCGGCGGCGCAGAGATGCCGTGAACAACGTGAATCGGGCGGTTGTTCGAGGCGAAGGGAGCAAACCATTTGTTTCAACTACAGGCGCCCTGGCCACCTCGCTAGACAGTGCGCGGGGAGGAGGAGCCGACGAGCCGGTTACATGTGGGGGCGGCATAGACATCTCGCTGCTAAGTGTCCGGGAAACAAAGAAAGAGAGGAAGCATCAGCGCCAGCCTCCTCTCCCGGCCGTGTGTAGACGGATTCCTGCCGCTCCGGTGCCTCTCAGTCAACGGCTGCGAGCGTATAGTGCTAATCAACACTGGATCTTCCCGAAGCATCGTACACGCCTCAGCCTGCGGTAGCTGGGGAAGGCAGCGGGAAAGCGTCTACACTGTGAGGGAAAAGTGGAGCAAGTGCAGCGGAGAGGAAGCAGTCCTCGTTCACTTACAAAATGACACGAAGTACGATGAATGAATGTCATAGAAGCTCTCGGTGGC